TAGCACGGTAGCTTAGTATATAAAGCTCGTGTGCACCATAATCTATTGCTGTCTGACGATCGGTATACGTGAAACTTAAGTAGCAGCACATTAAATTTTTTAAAATTTTTTATTTTTAATTTTTTTCATTTTGAACACCATATATATATATATATATATATATATATATATATATATATATATATATATATATATATATATATATATATATATATATATATATACATATATTTATAATATAGTCATTCACCGTATATGAGCTGTTCTGCAATCTGATTGGTTGAATTACTCGCCGTATATCAGCTCATATACGGCGAGTAGCGAAAAACAAGATGGCGGTCCAAAAACTACATGAGTTTGCGAAGCAGAAAAAAGGAAAATATTCGCTTTGAGAAAGATAATAGTACAAGGAAAAACTCTCAAAAAAATTTGACAGGTTAGCAAAATACATTTATTACATAGAAATTAGTTTAAATACAAGTTTTTTAAAGAATTAATACCGAAACAACAGCGAAAAAAACATGTTCATTGAGAATATAAATTGTTCAGAAAAGTTTGCAATGAACAACAAATGAATTTGCAGTCAACAAGCACTTACTATAGTACCAAACATCTGTATAATATATCTGAGCTTTCCTGTGAGATATAGAGGTTCTAACACCATTTCTTTCACTTCGTCTTCGAGTTGTAAAACAGAAGTATTTCAAATTTTCAAGCGGTTTTTGGCCGAAAAAATTGTCAACACATTGTTACAGTGAATAATTAATTACTGCTTCAGTTAATGGCTATATTAGACTATATTAATGGAATGGCATTCTTGTCATATATATATATATATATATATATATATATATATATATATATATATATATATATATATATATATATATATATATATATATATATATATATATATATATATATATATTGAGGCGTAGGACGCCGAAACATGCATGTTATGCAGATTGTACTATTTTTTAATTTTTTAATTTTTTAATTTTATAAACTTCGTCACAATATAAATTACATATCTAAATACTATAATGACTATAACACATTCCGAGCCATCCTTACATGTATCGTTTTCCAGGACAAACAACTGTTAAACCATATTAAAATAGACTAAAACAGACATGAAAACCGTAGATGCAATATAACTCGAAATGCACAATAGATCTAACAATACAACAATTTACAACAATTGTGACAGGGTATTCACGACAGCTTTTGGCCAATTACTGTGATCCCATTAGACAACAAACAAATTATCTTAAACTATACAAAGCACTCACATTGTCTCTTAAAAAATTATCATTTAAAAACAGCATGCAAGAGGTTTAGTGAGATCATGAGTCTGATTACACTTTAAACAAATTGTTTTCCACGAACGAGGATCATCTATGTTATAATTAAGTTGTAAAGCAGAGAGGTAGTAGTCAAGTAAATATTTTTTAAAGGTATATAAAGAATTAGATTTATTAGTTATAAGTTTTGGTAAAGTATTCCAGATCCTTGTTGATCTGATTGTATATGACTGTTGGTATGTCGCTGTATAGCATTTCTTCGTGCGGAATTGGAGACAGTTTGGTTGAACAGATCGTGTTGTTCTAACGTTCAGATTTTGCGTAGGAAGGACTGATCTCGGAAGATTTATGGCACCACAACTTACTTTAAATAAAAACATCATGTCCAAGTACTCGTGCCAATAGCTGATGGGAAGAAGCTTCAATTTCTTCAGTCGTTGCTCGTAACTGGCTTCGCAAAGAAAAGGCAGGCCAAGGATGTATTTTGAAGCACGCCTTTGTACTCGTTCTAATCGGGAGATGAGCTCAACGGACTGTGGTGACCAAACTTGCGTTGCATAACCGACTTGAGATCTTACGAGAGTTAGGTAGAGGGTACGACGCGCTGATTGACTGGTGATGTTTCTTGTGGATCGTTTTACAAATCCCAGCAATTTATTTGCCTTTGAACATTGTTCCAAGACTTGTTTTCGCCAGGTCAAGTTGTTGGAGATCCATACACCCAAATCAAATTCATGTTTTGAGGTCTCTAAGGTTTGGTTAACCAGACTGTATTGATGCTCGATTGTCTCGCGCCTTCTGGTAACACGGAGAGTTTTACACTTCGAAGTGTTTAATTGAAGACCAGCATTCGAGGAACTGGTTTCAAAGTTTAATAGGTCATCCTGCAACGCTGTAGCATCATCAAGGCAGTTTATCTCTTTAAATAATTTGGTGTCATCAGCATAAGTTGCGATAGAAGAACTCACGATACTGGAAGGTAGGTCGTTTTCATATAACAAGAACAGTAGTGGACCAAGAATTGAGCCTTGAGGTACTCCTGAAGTTACTGGTGTAGGAGATGATGTTGCTCCAAGGATTGTCGTTTGTTGTCTACGATCTTGTAAGTATGATTGGAACCATTTGAGGATGTTACCACTAAATCCGAAATCACGTAGACGAAGGAGAAGACGCGTGTGGCTCACCTTATCGAAGGCTTTCGACATGTCCAGGTATAAGACATCGATTTGTTTACCACGATCCAACAAGTTACCAATCGTGTCGAACACTTCGATTAACTGAGTGACGCAATTTCTTCCTGGGATGAAGCCATGTTGACAAGGATTAATCTGGCTAAACACGCGATCTTTGATGCATTCGAACAAACAGCGTTCCAATACTTTAGATATTAAAGACAGCAGAGATATTGGTCTATAATTTTCAACATATTCCTTATCTCCCTTCTTAAAAACAGGAACGACATTGGCCAGTTTCCATTCTCGCGGTACTACTCCAGTGCGCAGTGACTTGTTGAACAGATCACAAAGCGATGGTGCTATTACTGACGCTGTTTCTGTAAGTAGACGAGCGGGGATACCATCCGGTCCGTGTGCTTTATCTTTGTCAAGAGTTCTTAAGACTGCAGCAACATGATCTGGTGTTAACGTGATGTCTTCTAACAAGGTGGTGTTTGTAGAAAGGTCACAATCTTCGTCGATCGTACGCGAATATTTTTCCATGCTAGGTTGATCTCTGGTGAAGATTGAAGTGAAATAGGTGTTAAAGATGGATGCGATGGCTTCTGGCGATTCTGCAGATGTTCTTGCACCTTCACTTTCAGCCATCGACACTTTCTCAGGAACGTTGCAAACCTTGGATTTCAATTTGAATATCGACCAAAAGCGCTTCGGATGATTGCTGCGATCAGCACAAACACAGTTTATATACCTTGAGCGACTATCACGCAACATTTTTTTGATGGTAACTCTAAGTTCCTTGATTTTTGCTTTAAGATGCTCTTTTGGTGTTTTAGATTTTTTCAGCTTACGTCGTAGAGAACTTTTCTTTTTGATATTGTGTAGTATGTCGCTGTTCATCCACGGCACATAATTCCGGCCACGTATCTTTGTAGATGGGATGTGGTGTGACACCGTATCGACAAAAGTATTTCTCCAATTTCTCCAATCATCGTTGATGTCACTGTCAGCAGAGATAGTTGCGGAAATGTTTAAGGATTCTAGAGCTGATCGTAGAGCAGTAAAGTCACCGCGGCGATAGTCGTACAGTTTCCTTATTTCATGAGACCACTGCATCGCGAATGATCGTCATGGATATCGTTCGTAGTTCTGAATTATGGCATGCTGTCATAATGGAATTGTGACGCTCTTCTAACTTCTGCAAAGTTCTGAAATCTTGTTAAGAACACTCAAACTTTTTTGCCTTTTCTTAATCTTGTTAAGTTCAGAATAAACTGAGAATGAAACACAATCAAACCATACAACTCCATAAGACATAACAAGCAACACCCCAGAGACATCCAACATTTTTGGAACAAAACGTAACAAAATAGTAGCGTTGATACTGTGTATTTGCAAAACGCAATATTATTTCCTTCATTAAAGAATAATATTCATCCTGCTCTAACCGAGAAATAATCAACTCTGTTTTCAACCCATGAAAAACATAAAAAAATTAAGCTATTTAAGAAAAATTTAAGCGCCTGCCTTGCACGCCGGGGTCTTTCATGTACAGTACCTTTAAGTTTGTAAAGACCTATTAAATACTTGCATAATTTCGAACGTTCATATTTCAGGAAACAATGAGCTAAGACTTACATGCATGTTAAGATGTCTAAATCTATGCCATATCCCTTACAAACCCTAACGACAATTCGTTGAAATACAAGTTAGCCTGATATGTCATTAAGCAAACAAAGACCGGAGTTAATATTTGATATGCCGATTTTTGCTAATTTTAGACACATCCCAAAATATGCTTCCGATTTTGAACATTAACATCTCCGTGAATTTTTAAGTAATATACAACTGTAATATAATGCAAGTTATTTCTGTTTGATAGCTTTACTTGTTTAGAAGTTATTATAAATCAAACCGGAGTACTTTTTTTGGGACACCCGGTATATATATATATATATATATATATATATATATATATATATATATATATATATATATATATATATATATATATATATATATATACATAATTATATAAGTATAAGAATAATAATGCTATTCAAAAATGTGAATATTCAAAAATGTGAGTAGCGATTTTAGTTTCAAAGGACATGATGGAGTTGCTGTCTCTAATTTCGGTTGGTAAAGAATTCCAAATGTGTGCCCCGTCAAACATGAAACTTTTTTTCAAGCTATTTGTACGCGGCTGTGGTAAGCAAAGAGTACTTTCCACATCTCGAAGTTTATAATTTGTCATTTCACTTTTGAAAGTAAATAAATCAGTAAGTGATTTAGGACCCATTTTATTCAACAATTTAAACACCAGTTTGGACTTAGCCTTCATTCTTTCCGTTTTAAGTGGCTTCCAGTCTAAAGCATCTAAAGCAACCAGATGATCTACATCATTGCTCATATTCATTATGATTCGAGCAGCTCTGTTTTGGAGCTTTTGGAGGCGTTTTGATTGTGTTTCACCAAACACATCCCATACTTCACAGCAATATGTAAAGTATGGGCGAACAATAGAATTATACACAGAGACAAGTATATCTTTCTCAACAAATTCTTTTATTTGACGAAGAGCTGATATCCCGGATGTTATTTTCGCAAATTATTTCAGTATTATTCTTCCAAGACAAATGCTGGTCAACAGTCACTCCAAGAGTTTTGCAATCATATACTTGTTTAATTAATTGGTTTGTTTTCTATGATAATGTTTGGTTGTTTATTTGAGATACTTTTTATCATTGGTTTAGATCCAATTAATATAAATTCTGTTTTGGCCACATTTAAACTTAGTTTATTGGCAATTAACCATTTCCTAAGGTTTTCTAAATCAGAATTCATTGCAGCTTCAACATCATTTATAGATTCTCCCGCAGCTGTTAGGTTTGTATCATCAGCAAACAGTCTAGGTTTTGTTTTGCTTAGACACTGAGGCAAGTCATTAATATATAATAAAAAGAATAATGGCCCTAAAATAGAGCCTTGTGGCACGCCACACTTAATCAACCGCTCCGATGAAATAGTTCCATTAACTTGGCATTTCTGAGTGCGATTTATCAAGTACGATTTTAGTAGAGCCAAAGCATCTCCTTTTACGCCATAAATTTCAAGTTTTTTTAGTAAAATCTGGTGGTCGACAGTATCAAATGCCTTTTTTAAGTCAATTAGTACAACCAAGTTAAATAATTTTTTGTCAATATTCATATACCAACTATTAGTACAGTCTAGTAACGCTGTAGCAGTTGAGTGAGATTTGCGAAAGCCAAATTGACAATCATTAAGTAGCTGAAATTTCGTCAAATAATCATATAGTTGGTCATATAAAATTCTTTCCATAACTTTGCTAACAGCTGGCAAAACAGAAATTGGTCGGTAGTTACCAGGCAAATGTTTTTGGCCATTTTTATAAAGAGGTGATACTCTTGCCATTTTCCATTCATCGGGAAAAGTGCATAGTGTAATAGCCTGATTAAAAATAAGTTAATGAACTGGAGATAGCAGGTGCTGCTAGTTTTAAAATTTTACTTGAAATTTTGTCAATGCCAGTGGCTTTTGTACTAGAGAGGCCACGTAGGAGATAATAAACTTTGTTGGTGGCAATTGACTCAAATACAGTGAATTCTGATTTAGGTTTCTTAATATACTCTTGAAAATTGTGATTCGAAGTATCAATTTTGCTAGCTAAGTCAGGTCCAATATTTGAAAAGAATTCGTTAAAGCCCTCTGCAATGTCTTCTGAATTTGTTAAATTATTTCCACTTATACTCAACTCATTTACTTTTGTTGGTTTGTTTTGTCTGCCTAGTAAGTTGTTTATTGTTTTCCAAGCCTCCTTTGGATTTTGTTTTTGACCAGCAATTCTCTTGGAGTAATAATCCTTTTTGGCTTTTTTCATTTCTATATTTACTTTATTTCTGGTTTGTTTATACACTAACCAATCTGCTTCAAGGTTTTTAATAATGGCTTTTCTCTTAGATCTATCCCTCTTATTTATAAGCTTTTTGATTTCACTAGTAATCCAAGGGACTTTTTTTGATCTGATCTTTTTTTGTTGAATGGGTGCATGCTTATTTAGTACTTCCTCGAACAATTTCTTCCAAATCTCCCACATAGTGTTTGGATTATCAGCGAAGAAGTATACATATTCCCAATGCTGATTAAGTAAATCTTCAACAAATTTTTTGTCATCAAAATTTTTCATATTTCTAATTTCCATCTTGTTTGTTAGAAATATGGATTTTTCTGATGGTAAATACCAAACTATGATCACTGATTCCTGTATGAATGACACCAGAATCTGAGATTTTCTTTGGTGTATTAGTAACTATATGATCAATGAGGCTGGAGGTTGTCATGGTTACCCGAGTAGCTTCCTTAATTAATTGTGACACAGTGATTTTATTTTCTTGGTTGGTGTATCGGATTCTGTTTTAAGCATGTCACAATTTAAATCACCTAGAATATACATTTCTTTATTTTCATCATCAATCGCTTTGACTAATTTTTCAAAATTTTCAAAAAAATCATGTGATGAATTTGGTGGTCGATAAATAGTTGTAACCAAAAATGGCCGACTATGTGGCTTACTAATTTCTACACAAACAGCCTCCAATTCGGAGGGAATAAGATCATTTCTTATTTTATAGTTGATTGAGCTACGTAAGTATATACAAACTCCACCCCCATTTCTTGATCGGTCTTTTCTAACAATGTCATAGCCATCAAGGTCAATCACACAATCAGAAATATTTGAATCAAGTCGGGTCTCACTAAAACCAATCAGGTCAATGTGTTTGTTGGACATTGAGTAACGTATTTCATCAATCTTTTTTGGCAAACTGACAGTATTTAGGAAAGCCATCTTAAAACCTCTTTCATTGGGAATAGAATTAAGGCTAGTGAAAAAACCGCTAGTCGGTGTGCTAGAAGATCAATCATGATGATGTAGCCACATTACCAGAATTAACCAGCGACCGCAAGAAACTCGTTGCATTTGTGCGTGCTAGCCAATTGCCACCTAGCTCACCTGCAATGGTACAGTCGCCATCTGGTGATATAGACATAATAACCTTGTTCATTGGTCACGATTTTTCGGACACGCAGATTCTGATTGCCAATGGCAGCGGGAAGAACAGGAAAATCATCGACGTAACGTCAACTGGATTGTCCCTTGGTCACAGAAGAGCTCCTTTGGGAATGCATGCCTTTTCCGGAAACGATTCTGTATCTAGCTTTTTTCGAAAGGGAACGCAGGCCGTGTGGAAAGCCATGACCAAGAACACTGCCTTTATTGGGGTTTAGAATGGTTTGTCTGTTCTATATACGAGCATCCACGTATCCTCTCAGTCAATGAGGTAAGGAAGAAAGTATTGTGGAACAAGTTTAACAAAGAGAAGAAGATCATCAACCTAAGTCTGATGCCACCACGCCAGTCAAATCTTCATCATCACATCACGAAGGCTAACTATGTCGCGTACATCTTTTGACACGCCGATCAGCTGCCAGTAGAACTTGAGAACCCCGACGAGCATGGATGGGACGGAGATGGAAACGTTGTCTGGAGTGAATTTGCTATCCCGAGGAGATTGATGTGCTACTCGCAGGCACGGAGAGTGACAATAGTTCGTCCTCCGATGACTAAGAGGATGATTTGGACGTGGAAATTGAAGACACGAGTGTATTTTGAAATGGAAAATGCAAGGTTTGTGATCAGAATGTAAATGCTTGTAATGCCATGCATAACATGACCTCAATTTAATAGGGCAACAGTATTGCTTTTTATCAAAAAGAACACAAATCACTAGCTTTCTTACTCGTTTAAGTAGGATCCTCCCAGTAGATTCACTAAACCAAGGATATGTGTATCAAAAGGAGGCTAGAGGTCCCAATGTATCTGCGCATAACTTCGATTTTTGAAATTAGCGCACCGAAATTGAGCAAAATCACCAACTTCCTTGACTATCTAAGGCACATATATAGGCACCAAAACGAGGCTGAATGGACCAAAACGAGGCTGAATGCCTCGGCATTTTGCTGTGTAACCTCTATTTTTGAAATCAGCATGCCGAAATTGACCAAGATCACCAACGACTTTGCCTATCTAAGCTAACTAATGATTTCCCTCTATTTGCACCAAAACGAGGCTGCATACACCAAAACGAGGCTGAAGCCCTCGGTATTTGCCCGTGTAACATAGATTTTTGAAATCAGGGCACCGAAATTGACCAAAATCTCTGTGTTCCTTAGCTAACTAAGACAACTAACGTCTTGCCTATATATGTCCCAAAACGAGGCTGTATGTATTAAAACGAGGCTGAAGGCCCCGGTACTGGCCCGTATAACATCGATTTTTGAAATCAGCGCCCCAAAATTGACCAAAGTCACATATTCTCATAAATTCCCTGCTCGGGTTACGATACC